CGATGATAGGGTAAGCTTCTTTCCTCTCTTCTTTTTTTCTTGCTGTGTGATGCCTGACTGAGATCGTTGGTTTAGTTGTGTTGTTTTTTTTTCTTTGCTTTTTCTTTCTCTCCGGTTCTGTTTTGGTTTCTGTCTCTCCGGTTTCTGTCCTTTTTTTTTCTTCGCAGGGGGGTGGTGGCTTTTATAGCCCACCGTTGTAGCTGTCGGACCGGTCCGAAGAAGGGCTCTCGGTGAGTCACCGGACTACCAGTGGTGACTCACTGAGTAGCCATGGCGTGGACGGTTGCCATTTTATCTTCTGGAGTCTTCGGTTGGGACGTGGCAGCGGCGGAGGCGGCGAGATGGCAACGGCGGCCGCGTGTCCCTAGGGTATCAGACCCTAGGGTTTCCCTCTGGCACCATCTGGACCGTTGGATCTTGCCAGATCCAACGGCTGTGAGCTGAGGCGGCTGGTCAAATTAGGGTTAGGAAACCCTAACTGGAAACCTAAATATTTAGGGTTTCTAGTTAGTTTTGGACCGGTTCTGGTTGGTTTGTAACTGGACCGGTCCAGTTGTAATTGGGCCTGTAAATATTATTATGTATTTAATATATTTAATATAAATTAATAATAATAATAATAATGATAATAATAATAATAATAATAATAATAATAATATTAATAATAATAATATTAATAATAATAATATGGATAAAAAATTAATATCTTCAGTAAGAATTGTGTGAAGTGGACAGATAATTTTTGTCGTGGTAATATTAGAACAATTGCTTTATAAAATCCGAACAACCAGCTATCATTACAGTCTCATATAACTCCTTCAATATTGTCGATAACAATTGATTATGCAATAACACCATCAATATTGAGACAACAACATTTTTGTGTCGATCTTTATTACTAGGTAGAACCTTATGTTAAAAAACCTGAAAAACAAATATGATTGAAAATGGTGAAATATGCCTTTTTTCTACTACAATCGTTTTTATCTGTGCCCAACAATTTCATCAATAAAAAAAGCAGAAAACACAAATTAAGAAAAGCATGCTTAAAGTAGAAGATAGGCTTTATAACTTTACCCCAAAAAAAATTCATAAACATGGTAAAGCTAAAGATTCCATCACTAGGCTAACCAACAAAACTCCACTAATCTAACTTTATAGAACAACTATTGCCCAACGATCTGAAATATATACGGTTAGGATCCAACTATATAACGTAAAACTAAAAAGTTTTATACGTTTTTAAGATCGTTGATGAGAGAAAATCAAAGGGTGAGATTAATAGAAATAAGAAGATATTTCTAAAAAAACGAGTTAGTCTCAGCCTTTATTTATATGTATATGGGCATGATCTGCTTACACTATATAAAACTAACAATTTTACACCAATTTATAGTCTTTAGATTTAAATAAATAAATGACTTAAATTTAATTAAAATTTACAACCCATACATAAATATATTTTAACTCACAGTAAAATAATATATCTTTTTATCTCAATCCCGATTCTTAAACCCAAAATCTTAAACCTCAAATCCTAAATTCTAAAACTCAAATCATAAACCCTAAGCCCTATACCATAAATCCTAAACATTATTTTACTGTAAGTTAAAATATATTTATTTATGAGTTATGAATTTAATTGAATCAGTGTCATTTATTTATTTAAATCTAATAAATTTTACTCCAATTTATAGCCATTAGATTTAAATAAATGAATGAATTAGGTTTACTTTAAATTCATGACCCACAAATAAATTTTTTAACTCATAGTAAAATATTTTTTTTTTAAGGTTAGGGTGTAGGCTTTAGGGTTTAAGATTTAAACTTAGGGTTTAAGTTTAAGAATTATGATTGAGGTTTAGGGTTTAAGATTTAGAGTTTGAGAGTTTATGTTAGAAGTTTATATTTTAGATTTTGTGTTAAAGTGTATGCTTTTGGGTTTAGGATTTTGAATTTAAGGGAAAAGAGATATTTGTTTACTGTGAGTTAAAAATATTTATTATAAGTAATTTTAATTAAAATCAAGTTATTTATTTATTTAAATCTAATAATTACAATTTAAGGTAAAATGTAACCCCTAGACCCGACCTGGATGTTTGACCCAAATCTAGGTGATCACATATCACATTTAGATTTTTTTTCATATTTAAAACAACGTTAAAATCCATAAGAAAGATTCAAATTATAAACATATGTATACATATGTCAAAAAACTGTATAAAATATATACATATCAAAAACAAAGAAAACCGTTATAAAACATTTACGGAACAAAATACCGGTAATACATATATATCAAGCGGTAGCAAAACACATGTCACCAAATATAACAGAAATGTATATAGAATATACAGTGGTACAAAATTAGGAAAAGTCGGTCCTCCGATGCTAAGTCTGCTATTATCTGAAAATGTTAAAATTAACTGAATGAGCTAAAGCTCAGTGTGCTCTTTACGGTATAAAAAACATATAGATAAAATATTTCAATAAAATCGGCTTATCAAACATGTTTTAAAAACATGAACACTACCCCATCCGATCACCAGAATGTGTAGGTTTCTCCAGAACCAACACCCACTTGTACACCGAATAAGGGGTTACCCTGTGCACGAAGCAGAGGAGCCTGGAGTAAGGTCTTTATCCTGTGCACAAAGCATAGGAGCCTACAGTAAGGACTTACCCTTAGAAAAAAACCAAGGAGCCTACAGTAAGGATTTACCCTGAGCACAAAGTCGAGGAGCCTGCAATAAGGACTTACCCTGAGCACAAAGCCGAGGAGCCTTCGGAAGGCGGTAAGGTCTTACAAGTCATAGACTAGGCCTGAGATACTTCCTCCAATAAAAACCCCAATGACAGAAATAACATGTATGTAGTCGAAGTAAATGGTAGTTTAATCCATTCAAACATGAAATATTTCATTTTCAAATCAGATACGAAAATACAGTAATCCAAAGATCATATAAAAATATACAATAAATCAAAATCAGATAAATTGTGTTAATAAAATCAAGTATTGTGTCATAAAAATATTCAATATTATCAGAAATCTCAAACAATTCAGACAAATAGTTGAAAACAGTAATGTAACACCAACAAAAAACACACCTGTATCAATCTAAGTTTTTTTTGAAAAAAAGGAGCCTACTATTGATTCTGTCGATCACGATCAGCGGTAGCGCTAGATCATACGAATCAGAAAATCCATATTGGAATCTTAATATGAATAATATTAACCTTTATTTAAATAATTTATGGAACCTACAGGTAACTCTTGTAGAACACGGATCGAGCGAGTTTGACAGACGGGAAACACCGGACGTAACTGACCTCGGTTAGGTGAAACACGAGTACCTTCATAAAAATATCTTCTTAGATCAATTCCATAACCAAATCTCAAATAAATAAGCAAAAATGTTAAAAATACTAACCATTTTCGGGTTAACGATCTCGATTCGGGGATTTCGAGTCAAAATTTGGTAAAACAAACTTCGAAATCAAACCCATGACGTCGAAAAACATAAAACATGACTTTTCGAAAATTTTGATTTTTCGGTCAAAGTCAACGGTCAACGATCAGTCAACAGTCAACGGTCGGTCAACGATCAATGGTCACTGTTGGATTGGGTCAGACCGAGTCGGGTCGGGTTGAGCAGGCGGATCGGATCAGCGCTCGGGTCGAACACGGGTCGGGTTGGGTCGACCCATTTCCAAGCAGTCCACCAGGCAATGGACTTTCCTCACGCGCAGAGGTGGCGCGTACGGGGCTGTAGGGGTTGGAAAAATCCTAAAAAAATTCTTAAGTGTGTTTTAAGGTGTTTTGAGACACTTACCCAGCTCAGTTCACAACATTGAATGATGAAGAACTCGATTTCAAAACGTCAGAAACTTGATATTCCTCACCCCCTCACACGTCGGCGACAACAGAGATAAGAAGGACATCGGTGGACTCAGGACGACACAAGGAACACGATGGTGTGAGAGATATAAAAAACGAAACAACGATTAACGACGAAACGACGATCAAAGATTTGTTTCTAAAAGAGGAAAATATTAAAGAGAGAGAAAATAAAAAAATTGAAACATTTCCTTATTTAGTGTTATATAAACCCTAAAAAAGAAAATGGCAAAATCATGCAATATATCCTCCATATTTAGTTTCTTTCTGGATTTGGATTTGATTTTATTCAAATTTTCACTTTGGTCCCCGAATTAAATCAAAATTCAATTTACTTCTAAAAAATTTTAAGAGAATTTTAGGCCCTATTTTGGGTGTGACATAAAACTTATTAATTTTACGTAATATAAGAGGATCCTACATCTCATATATATATATATATATATATATGTCTTCATTTATGATAATTTGGAACTCATATCTATACCTTGTGTTCAATCAACAGTTTACATCACAAGATTAAATCAACAATATATATATATATATAATTCCTTTATTGATGAGATGGAGTATACAACCTACATACAGATAATTTATTAGAATCTATCGCACACATTTCAATAATTACAAACATATTATTTAAATATAATATTATATAATTAAAAATGAATGTAAAGGATTTATATCTAGAGATGATTTATTATTAACACTCTTAAATTATTGTCTTTCACTGTTGTTTTGTTATTCGAAACACGTGTAACATTCATTTTAAATTTTTAATCTCATAATTCCAATATCTAACTCTAACCCAATAATCTTAATAATTAATCTCAATCACTATAATTTTCAATTTTCTGTGTTACTCCTTATAAAAAAAATCACTTTTACTACAAGTAATTTCATCATTTTACTCCAAATGTAGCACGCGTTAGTCAAAATATTGCTAAAAAAAAAGAATTAAAACATCAAAACATGAAGGGGACAAGTTGTATTTGTTTTTCTAAATTTCTACATGGAAAGAAAAGGATGGCCCTCTGGAATTGATTGACTTTATGATCCCATGAACCAACAATTTTGTCCGCATTAAAACCAATTTGTTAAAGGAAAATGATAAACGGACTAAACGAGTTGGTGAAGATAAAGGCTCAACACCCACCTTTCCTTGAAAGTAATCTTCAATCACCATTTGCCTTCAAAACAATTTTCATCCCCAGAAAACATGTTTGATCCTGCCAAGCTGCCCCAATCTATGTCGAAACACATGGGGAAGAAGTATGATTCCAGGGTGCAAAAGACGGCTCAAAAACAGGAGTTGGAACACCATGGGAGCTGATGAAACTTGCGTGATGGAAGTTGAGTCTGGAGTTTCTACTCCTTTATGGGACCTAATCCTTCAACGATGGAAAGAACATTAATTACCGATGTTTATCGCCGTCATCGCAAGCTCAAGCCATCGCTAGAGGCCAAAGGGAGCTTATGGAAATGGTTAGCAGAATGCCCGAGTCTTGTTTCGAACTCACCTTGAAAGATCTTGTGGAGCACCGGGATGCGGCTGTTGAAACGAAACAGGAGAGTTGTGCTGTAGGGAGAGGTGCCATCAATGAACATACATACAGCAAAGATAAGGGGAAGAAGAAGAATCAGAATCAGAAACCGCAAATCAATAGAAGTGGGAGCATAGATAATGGAGGGTTTTCTGAAAATGGTGTTTCCATTTTCCTCGGGGTCAAAGTCGAAGAACAAGAGGAATGGTTCAAATGGTGAATTACAATTCTAGAGTTTCACCGAAGCCAATAGTATCAGATGAAGCTAGTAAGAGAATATATAAGAGTCGTGGAAGAATAGATCGGGGTCGAGCGAGAGTGACGGCTTTGGATCCAATGTAACCAGTGGAAGCTCCGAAAGCAGCCGTAGCAGCAGCAGTACGGGCGGCAGGTAACAGAAATAATTTCCCTATTTTTGTGCCTTGTAAACATTACAGATAAGGATTTCAAATAAAAATAGTTGGATTGTATGGGAGATATAGGAATCATAAATTCATTTGAGTTTTTTTATGTTGAATGAATGCAGGCGTAAGGGGAACTGTTGCTGGTCTTTCATCTTCAATAGGAAAATCAAAGCATCGCGGTAAAACACCAGCCTTGGGGCATGTTTGAAAATGGAGTTCAATATGTAAATTTTTCCAGTAATGCGAAATGTTTACGTAAAATGGTACATGCTGCAAAGTCAGTGTATGTTCAGATTCAGAGATTGTAATTACAGAGTTCCCTGTTTCTTTTTTCCCATTAGAGTGAAGAAGAATTATGATTTTGCCTTCCATTAGTTTGAAGAGAGCAGAAAACATCGCTTACCCTACAACATTTGGAGCTGCATGGGATTATTGCATAGTTTCCTTGTAATTGTTACCTTGAGTGTGAATCCAGTTCATCATACGCGATCAAAATACATTGAACTAAATATTTATTTTATCTTAGAAAAAGTAACAAGTAAAACTGTTCAGGTAAATGTGTTCCTGCTGCTCACCAAGTAGCTGATGGGTTACTAAACCTTTGATTAAATCCTCTCATGTCTTGTTTCTCAAAATATTCAAGTGGTTGATCTTGAGATGACAAGACAGAGATGCAGAGAGGATGTTGAAGCATGAAATGCATAAAATGCTGAGCTGTGCAGTGACATGGCCAGTTGTTGGGAATTTTGTTAGAGTTGTTATACCTGGCTTTAATCTGTTACTATTCTTACATGGCAAGGATAATATATATATATGTGTGTGTAAAATAATTTATCGAGTCGGATCTTATGTGTATTGCTAAATAAACATAGAAGAGTCTTTTAAAAGATTGTGGTTATTGATATTAAACTTTTTAAAAGTTGGAATGTAAAGTTAATAATCAAATATAATTGATGAGATAAAAGTTTGTCCCATATTGATGAATGCTTTAGAGAAAGCTTAGTGCTCTAAAAGAAACAGAGAAAGTTGAGTTGGGGGGGGGGGGTGATGTGGAGGGTCACGAGCACAACAGAAAGTGGGATTACGTACACTTATTATCCTAACACAAAAGTAAGAGATCGAATCACCGCGTCATTTCTGAGTAATTAAGGAAGTTTATAAGAATTAAACCACGATTATTAGTACAATAATTGATAGTGGATATTTAAATCCAATCCCAACGCAACACCGCGCTCACTTCATATCTCAGTCTGTCACTTTTGCTTTCATACAAGACAAGAGGCTTCACTTTGCCCCAGACCACAACCAAACACAAATAGTTCGTCCATTTCTTTTTGTTACACATGAAGCCAAACCATGTTTTCATTCACCAAAAACAATAAAGCTTTCCCTTTTGTCTTCTTTTTTTCTTCTGTTTCTTACAAAAGAACGAAGAAGAAGCAAAGGTGTAAAAGTTTTTTTTTCTCTTTCCAAAGGTAAAAATTTACACACAAATATTAGCTTCTACGTCTCTCCCGACACGTGTAATCTGCATGTGTTTTCTTCTGGTTTTTTTCTGCATGGAGTTTTTGTTTGCATTACCATATATGTTCACCTACACATAAAATTGTTCTGTTTTCCAGCTCAGTTATTTTCTTTCAATTTCTACTTTCAAGATTTGTTTTTCCCCCCTTCTCACTTTCCATTTATTCTTTTATGGTTCCTATCTACACTATTCTCTTGAGAATTTGCAGGTTTCATTCAAGATCAGTGTCTCTCTCTTTTCTCATCTCCTTCGGATGAAGAAAGCAACCTCTCTTTGGTATGTTGCGGTATGAATTTTGATTGATTTTTTTTCTTTTTTGGGTTAATATAATGATTACTGAAGATTGACAAATTTTGGCCATTTACTAGTAGACTGTATTTTTTGTTGTTGTATTAGACGGTATGATTTACGTGTCCACTGAAACTCCAGTTGTCTATATATTTTTCAAGGTTTGAAATTGACGTTTTTGATAACATAGTTTGTATAAATACAAGATAAACCATCGAGAAGCCCTTTGTTGTTTACTTCAGAAACGGTAGTTCTCTTATCTTGGACAAAATTAACTATATTGTCTATCACTGTAATTAGAAGCTCCGTTTGATAATCTTTATGTATTTGTTTGTTCACAGTAATCAAAAGTTTGGAAACACTTCATTGCTCCAAAGTTATACTGTGAATGAAATGTCCCATATAACTTTGTTTACATGGCAGGTTAATATGCTTCTTGCCAAAAGCAGCTTGTCCATGCATGATGTTCTGCTTCACCATTGTTAGATGGCTTGCACTAGTAGAATTCTCCTTTGATCTTTTGATTTCAACATCTACAACATAATCTGCAGATAGAATAGTTTTAGTTTCTGGGGTTAATTAGGGCTATTTTATTGTTTCACAGGTTACTGGATGCTAGACAATTCGTACAATATTGTCTATATATTTAAGTTGAGATCAGTTCCGTTGGAGAGGTGAGCATCTGTCTGCCGTGACACAGAACAGAAAGCACATCCAGAGTGCTGTGAAGCTGTGGTTTAAATGGCCAAAACTTGTTGGCCATACTTTGATCCTGAGTTTGAGAACTTAAGTGTCAAAATTAATCCTCCCAGGTTCTGTTTCTTTCTCAAGAGAACTTGCATGCATTTTAGCAGTTCTCACTTTCTATAATTATAACTCTTTGTTTCTCTTACCTTTTCTTGTAGGGTGTCTGTGGACAAAATTAGTTGCAGACACTGTATTGTTGTAAAGGTAGATTTCATTGTAAATAAAAGTTTTTGCCTCATTGGCCTTCGAACTTACATGGGTGCCATCAATTACAAGTACACTACTGTTAATCAATTGCATATAGGTTGACAGCGTGAATAAACCTGGAATATTGCTGGAAGTTGTGTAAATACTATCAGACCTCGACCTCACTATTACCAAAGCTTACATCTCCTCTGATGGTGGATGGTTCATGGATGGTATGTGTCGTAACCGGTTTTCGTCCGGGCACGAAATTTTTACTCGGCGGGAAAAGTAATGTGAATAAATGATTTTAAAATATTTGGGAGTCGCCATCGGCCTTTTGGGTCAGGTAGGTCGAATACCTAAAAATTATCTTTTAAAAGAGTTTTTAAGAAAACATCAGTTAAAAGATAAACTGATCTGCTTTTTAACCAGAGATTCGTTCTTTTTAATAATAAAAAGGGGTTCGTGGTCGATTACGTTTGGGGAAGGATTAGCACCCACACAATGCCCAAAATTGGTACTTATTAATTATAAATTGTCTCTTATTATTGGAAATTTAAAAATTCAAAAAATATATTTAATTTATAATCCAATTATTTCAAAGTTATAATTATATAAAATATATATATATAAAATATAAATAAAATATTTATTTATTTAAAAATATCAGAAAATGACTTCTAGGTGCCTTAAGACAGCTCTTTCTTTGATATAAAAAAAATATATATATATATATATTAAAATAATTAATATGATTTAAAAAATAAAATATTTATTTATTTAAAATATCAGAAGATGGACATCCAGTTGTTTTAAGACTGCCCTTTCTTAATATTGAAAAATAAATAAATATTAAAACATGATTAAAATAGGTTAAAAATAATTAAATAAGTTTTTAATAAATAAAATAAATATTAGATAAATATATATATTATGACTAAATAATAATAATAATAATAGTAAATAATAAAATTAAAACTATATATAAAACTTGTAAAAAATTTAAATAGAAATTGAAATAATGACTAAATTAGAACTTAATAGAATTAAATACCTAATTCGTGATTAATTATTTAAAATTACAGGGATTAAACATGCTATTCTCCTTATTTATTAATTTGGTGACTAAAATAAAATTATATAAAATTCAAATATCAGATTAAAATAAATTAAAAATATGTACTCGGGATTAAAATATTAATTATTAAAATTAAAGGACTAAATATGATTTACCCTAAATATATTATTTAATATAAAGGATTAAAATAAATAAAATTAAAATTAAAGAACCGAATTATAAAGATCTAAAATTGGGTTCAGTGACTAAAATGTAAGGATTACAAATTAAGATGGCTGCGGAAATGGTTTAACCTTTATGAAATTACACAGATACCCCTCCCCAAAACGACGTCGTTTAGGAAGGGGTATAAATACCCTAAACGCCTGGCCCGAAGGGCCAAACTTTCTCATTTCTCTCTTTATCAGTTTCTCTCTAAAACAGAGAGAAGCATTTCTCTGGCTTCTCTCTAGGTTCCCTCGCCGGAGGGAAACCGGCAGCCATAGGCCACCGTACTCCGGTGCCGATCACCGTCGCCAGCCACCGTAAACGGTGGCCGAAATTTACAAAAATACCCCCAAAGCGTAGATCTAAACGTCCTAAGGTCCGATCTAAGGTTATTTTAACCTAAAACCCCATAATATATCGTAAATCTACGATTTTCACCTTCGACGTTTTGATTTTCCGGCGACGTTTAGGGCTCTCCGATGATGGTCAAGGCTCCAAGGGTAAGTTTCTTTTCTTTCTTTGTTTCTGTTTTGGTTCATGCTTGTAGTGGGTTCTCTCTTTGTTTGTTGCCGTCTGTGGCTGTGTGTGGTTACTGGTTTGCTTGCCTCTCTTTTTTCTGTCTCTCCTTTTTTGTTTTGCAGGATCGGTGGCTTTTATAGCCACCACCGAGCCATGCTCGGACCGGTCTAGAGGGGGAAGTTCGGTGAGTCACCGAGCTATGTGGTGACTCACCCCATAGCCGCGACATGTGGGGGGGCAGCTGGCCTTTTGGAAACTTCTGGTGAGGCGGCGGCTTCGTGGCTGTAACGCTGGCAGCTGGAACATCTGGAAACAACGGCGGCGACCGTGTGGTCCATAGGGTTATGATACCCTAGGGTTTCAAGCTGGAGAGCTTTGGACCGTTGGATCTTGCCAGATCCAACGGTGGAGATCATTGGCGGCTGGGGCATGAGATGAGAAACCTTAGTTGGGTTTAGGGTTACTGTTTGGGCTTTGTAAATGGGTTTAGGGTTATGGGCTTCTGATGTATTTGGGCTTGTAATAATTATTTAATAATAATATACTAATAATAATGTTTAATAATAATAATAATAATAAATTTAATAATAATAATAAATTTAAATGAAAAAAATGATGTCTACAGCTGCCCCTCTTTGCTCATCCTTGTGTTAACAAGAATAGAGTAAAGACGAAAAAGACAATAATTTTTTCATTTGGCTTCTTTTGAGTAGGATGGAAATGTTTGAAAACATCATGCACTGAAGGACTTACATATGACCCGAAGGTTTTGAAAACATCATGCACTGAAGGGCTTACAGATGACCCGAAGGCTTTGAAAACATCAAAAAG